GCTGCCGCCCTGAAGGCGAGGACCATTGTACCCAAACCCAGCTTTTCTTTAGTCCGAGCCACAGGGATGCCGAATCTCCACCGCCCTCTCCCTCGGCTCCCTCTCCCTGTGTCGCTGGGGTAATTAGTTCCATATTGGCTCTTGCACAAGAAGAGATTTGGTTTTAATTTTCAGTCCTCCTGACTGTCTCCTTGAGCATATATTCTATGAGCAGCTAAACAGAAGAATCCAATTAACCTTTCTCTGTACCATTAATTATCCTAGACTCCTCTCTCATCCTTCTCTACATCACCTCTAATTAAGCAGATTCCACACTTCTTATAGCTGGAATTTCTTTTTCATATTGTTGTGCTTATTACTGCACTTTTGTAAGCCTCCCTCCTTTTCTCAGAGCCTTTTCTAAGATGGAGCAATTGGAACCACAAAGCAATATTCCGGATGCAATCAGATCACCAGTCTATTATTTTCAGCATTGTTTTCCCTCCTCTTACTTTATCCTTCTCGCCTCAGATGCTGATTTCTGAATCTGCTGGTGTGAGAGGTACTCAAACACTACAACATAAAAACCTCAAAAAAAAAAACCCAGGCAGGTGGGTTTGGTCTGCTTTTTGCTTTTTTTTTTTGTTTGTTTGTCTGCTGCTAGAGCAGAAGCAGGGATTTGCATTTTTCTGCTTGCAGCAGTAGCTGAGCTTCTCCTCCGCATTCCCTCCTAAATGCCAGTTCCTCTGGAAGATGGTAAGGACAGCTGGGTGTATCACGCAGCACAGGGAAATCACAGCAGTCATGGGCTGATCGGAACCAGCTCGTCGGCTTGCCCTGCAAGCGCACTGGAACCACTGCCTTTGTAAAACTAGGGCCGCCCCACTGGCTGCATTGCGATTCAAACCGCTGTAAAAATGAAAAAGATTAAAATCTGGCTTCATATCCAAGGTTGGGTCCTTTTAGAGGCATTTGTCTCGCTGAGACACATTTTCACTGCGCTTTGCTTAAAAAAAACTGCCGTCTACATACGCTTAGGCAGAGGAAGCAGGGAGATACATTTCAACACGGTATCTCTGGACCGCTGCTGAGGTGCGCTCCCCAAGCTACCCCAGCCACAAGCCTGTGCTCCCTGCGAACAAGCCATCAGCGGGGAGGAGGAAGCCACACTGTGGCATTGCTGAGTCTCCGATATCCTCACCGCCCCTGCCCATAGCCTTATCACCTCGCACCCGGTCTTGAATGGGATCCCGTGACATGGAATCGCTCTGGCCTTGTTTATTATTATTATTATTCCTCTCGATAGGATGAGAGGAAACGGCCTGAAGTTGTGCCAGGGCAGGTTTAGGTTGGACATTAGGAAAAATTCCTTCCCCTTGGGGCTGTCAGGCACTGGAAGGGGCTGCCCAGGGAATGGGTCGAGTCCCCACCCCTGGGGGGATTTAAAAGCTGGGCAGACGCAGTGCTTAGGGCCAGGGCTTAGTGGTGGGATGGCAGGGGTAGGGGACTGGTTGGGCTGGGGGAGCTTAAAGGGCTTTTCCAACCTAAATGATTCTATGATTCTACGATTAAACCAGCAGAGACATTTTCAGAAGAACTTTACCAGGTCCTGCGCCTTCAGTACCGTGATCTGTACTGGTTTTGCTGGTGTGGGCTGTGTCGGGCCGGGAAGAGCTGCAGCAGCGGCCAAGGCAGGGGGCTGCTCTCCGTCAGGGAGCCCCACGGGGACCTCCATGGCTCTGCGGGGCAGAGATTGAGGAAAGAAAGATGAGACGGCGCCGTTCCTGCCCCAGAAAGGCCTGCAGGGCACGGCGTCCTTCGGGCCTTGGCTGCCCGAGCACCACGGAAATCCCCCGTGAGGAGCCGGGGCGGGGGGGACAGGGGGCAAAGTAACGTGAAAATTACCCGGCTCCGCAGATTTAACCCCGCTGG